GTCTCTAGGCAGACTCGAACCTCCAACCTTTTGTTTAGCAGCGAAGCACATTAACCATTTGTACCACCCAGGGACTCCTATCTAACATTAATAATTACTATTTCAGGGGGTAGAATTTGGAATAATTTTTTAAAACTCTCTGTCTTTTATTGCATTGTTTTAATAATTTACAATGAGCACGTACTACTTTACAAAAACTATTAAGTGACTCTTCTTTATCACAGCTCATCACAAGGGCTATGACAAGCCAATCAATTTTTTTTACAAAGGAAGTGCAAAGTAAGATGGTGAGGTGACAAGGTGTAAACCACTCTTTAAAAAACATTTATTTTTCTGTCTGATAATGAAATATCTCAGAGAAAAGCAGAAAGAAATAAAATAGACACCTATATATCCAATACCAAGATTCAACAGATGTTAATATTTTGCTACGTTTCCTAACAAGAAAGCACTGTAGAAAAAGCTAAAGTCCCACTCCCCATCTCTTCTCCCTACATCTTCAGATGCAACCACTATCCTGAGGACATTTATAATTCCCAAGCATGTCTTTGTAATTTTACTACATATGTTTAATTTATGTATGCATAAACAAGATATACTACTTTTGTGTGTTTAAGATGTACATATATGGCATCATAATATTTACTTCCTTTTGTAATTTTTTAACTCAACATTATTTTTCAGATTTAGCCAAGTTATACATGTAGACTTAGTTCATTCATTTTCCCTGCTGTGTGACATATCATCGAATGAATAAACCCTCATTTTTTGGTTTGTTTTGTTGTTGTTGTTGAGAATATACAGAGGAAAACACACACCAATTCAACAGTTTTTACATGAACAATTTAGTGTCATTGATTACATTCTTCGAGTTGTACAACCATTCACACCCTTCTTTTCTGAGCTGTTCCTCCCCCATTAAGATAAACTCACTGCCCCCTAAGCTTCCTATCTAACCTTTAGAGTTGCTGTTGTTAATTTGATCCCATATAGACAGTTCTTAAAAGAGCATAATGCTCAAGGCAGACATTTTTTAGTAGTTAAGGTAAACCACTGTTTGGTTTTAAGAATAATTCAGGCCCAAATAAACTCAATTTAGCATATTTTAAAGTAGGCTTAACAATTCAAGAAATAAACAAAATAAACTGTTTAGTAATTTGAAAAAAAAAAAGTCTATTTAGACCTTCACTTTTAATCATATACCAAAATAAATTCTAAATAGATTGACTGTTTTTACAAATAGAGAGAGAGTTGAGTCTAAAGAAGGCAGGAGCAGGCTGTATTCATCATCACACACCCAGAGCCTAGCCCAGGGCTGGTACAAACAGACTTGGAAAATGCTGCCCAGAACAGAAGAAATTAATTTGAGTTCCAACTCTGCTGCTAACTCATTGTGTGATCTTGAGCAAGTCATTTTACTTCTCTGTCTTCAATTCCCCATTTATAAACCGCGGATGGTAATGAGTCCAGCAGCATGCAAACACTCATTATAAACTTCACAACGCTATACAAGTTAACATAAGGAATAAAGATTACATTCATCGATGTTGCTATTACTCAAATATGTTTACCATTAATATTTTAATGTTAAAAACAATGTTGATGTTCTTAGGGAACTTCTTTACTCAACAAAGTAGACAATGTCAGCTGTAGGAATATGCACTTTAAGTCAGGGCCTCAGTAAAATTATTTTCATTTTGAATGGAAAAAGGTGTAGCCCATAAACACGTTATTTTTCCTGAATTGGCCTTCAACCAAAAAAGGCCTTGTATCACTTCTCTAAGCCACTGAAAAGATACTCTTTTTCACTGCCATGGCCAAGGGGCCCACAGGGAGGAGAGATAAGCCATGAAGTACAATGGGGGCAATGTGACACAGAAAAAGTTTTGCAATTAAAAAAACCCTGATGTGACTAATGAGGCACAGCAGTCCAGGGACAAGAACTAGAAGGCAGAAGGGGACAGGAAAGCTGGTGATAGGGAACCCAAGGTTGAGTAAGGACAGTGTT